GCGTGAAAGAGAGGAAGGAAAAGGGGCCGCAGAATCGGCGGTCGGCGATTTGGGGACAGTTGGGGGCTGGGAGCTGCCGGCTGCGTGAAAGAGATGAAGGAAAAGGGGCCGCTGGTTACGTGAAAGGAAAAGGGGTTGTTGGGTTGGGTCTTTTGTTTTGGGCTTAAGTTGGGTTGTGACTTTCCTTAAAGACAAAAAAAAAAGGCCCAAAAAATAATAATTCGGAGATGGGATTCAAACCTGATACCTCGCGTATCAGGTACCTTGCTTCCAGACGTGTTCCCGTTCGGCTGTAACAACTTTATTGTTTTTAAGTTGTTTTGTGTTTATATATACATTGAATAAGTAATTTTAAAATATATATATATATAATATATATAGGGTTTTTTCCCGAGATCCACGGGGTCCCGGGACCCCTTGGGACCCTTAGTGGGTCCGCCACTGCCCGTTTTCCGTCTTATGTGTGCAGGTTAAAGAAGTCCTTATATGGCTTAAAACAGGCTCCCCTGGCATGGTATATGGCGCTATCTCACTATCTTGTGAAGTTGGGGTTTCATAAATCTCGAGCTGACAGTTCGTTGTTCATTTATTCTCATTCTGGAATTATTCTCTACTTCTTAGTATACGTTGATGACATTGTGTTGACGGGAAGTTCAGCACAGAAAGTTGATTGGTGTGTCAAACAGCTCACGGCTAAATTCTCTGTCAAAGATCTTGGACGACTGCATCATTTCCTCGGGGTCGAGGTCATTCCCACCTCAGATGGTCTATTTTTGTCCCAACGGCAATACATACATAATATTTTGGAGGGAAGCAACATGACTGATGCTAAACCGGCAAACACCCCGATGAGTGTTGCGGCCCTACAACAGGTATCTACCCTGGACACTCTTTCGGATCCGACCAAGTACCGGCGTATCCTTGGACAGCTTCAATATCTTGCTATTACTCGCTCGGACATTGCTTATGCCATAAATCGGCTCTCCCAGCACATGCAGTCACCTACGGAGCTTCATGGGCAGTCAGTCAAACGGATTTTACGATATATCAAAGGTACCATTGACTTTGGTCTCCATCTTCGCCGCAACACCCACCTTAGTCTCACTGCTTTTAGTGACTCAAATTGGGGTAATGTTACTGATGCTGGTCGATCAACAACTGCATATGTTTTGTATCTTGGCTCCAATATCATTTCCTGGAAATCGGCAAAACAAAAATGTGTATCTCGCTCTTCGACGGAGGCAGAATATAGAGCTGTCGCCCATGCCAGCGCCGAACTTATTTGGGTCACGCATTTGCTTCAAGAACTTGGCATTTCGCTACCAGTTGCACCTACATTATTTTGTGATAACCAGGGGGCAACATATGTCTGTGTCAACCCGGTATTTCACTCCCGAATGAAACATTTGGCATTAGACTACTTTTTTGTCCGGGATATGGTGGAACAAGGAAAACTCAAGGTCTGCCACATTTCCACCAAACTTCAAATTGCGGATATTTTAACCAAGCCATTGGGAAAAGAGCCGTTTGAAAGATTTCGGTCCAAGCTGGGAGTCTCCGATGGACACTCCATCTTGCGGGGGCGTAATGGACCATAATTAGTGCACATATTTTATTATATTTGCTACGTACATAATGTATCACTTTCAACATTATCTTATCATTAGAGTAGTTAGCCTCATCACTTGTATTAGATAATTATCACTTCCTAGTTTATAGGATCTTAGCTACTGATCTCCATGTATTTAACCATGTACATCTCGGCTGATTAATGCATGCAATACAATATATTTCTTCTCCAGTTTATACTCTTTCACACGGTAGATAGATTTCTTAGCAAGAACTGTGTTTGATATGCATAAAACAGGGTCACCACAAGCAATAACATCCTTCGAGAGGGGGCCAGAGTCAATACAAATAGAAGGTTCACAACCAGAGGCTTGGCTAAGAACAAAAGCTTGGTTTTTCAAAGTACTAACCATTTGGTCTGTAGCATCCTCTATAGCTGAGGCATCAACCTGGTCAAGAGCAGCAGAGTCTACCAAAACCTGGGCATCCACAGAGTCAACAGAAACAATTGGGAATATAACCGTAGCAACAACAGGGGGATTAATAACAGTATGTGCAACATCTGTTTGGCTGCTAATTTTAGAACAAACATCAACAGTTGGTTAAAGCGCAACATAGGCAACAGAAACATTTGGGACAAAAACCGGGGTCTGAACAGGGGCATCCAAAGCTGCAGTATTAGCCTCAGCAGAGCCAACTATAGGTAAATCAGGAGCAATAGCGACTAACGGGGCAGAAACCTCAGCTTCTTTTGCCATCATTGGTTGAGAGTCCCAAGTTTAGAAACCTCAGCTTCTTTTGCCATCATTGGTTGAGAGTCCCTAGTTTTATCATGCCTGAAACAAATTGATTTTGGTTTTGGTTTTTGAAAATTAACTTAATGGAATACTAACGTTAAGAGGGGATAGTAAGGATAAAGAAGTTGTATTAAAAGTAGGGTTCCATTTTCTAAAAGCAATGTACAATTTTTCATGCACAAAGTATGTTGACACAAGTTAAGAGTACCAACCCCCATTCATAATTATAATGTTGTAAAATATTGTTATGTTAAAAATCAATATGTAAAAAATCTCCCCAAACGTAATTATGGCTCCTTTTGGGTGCCACTGACGATGAGATGTGATATATTGATTAGCAGAGTTGTGCTTGGTGTACACATTTTTGTGTACACTTTTTGTACATTCGTTTGTTTCACGTACACAAAATTGTCTGTCAACAGACAACTCTTAAAAGTTGTCTGTGGACAGACGACTATGTCTGCGTGAGACAGACGAATGTACAAAAAGTGTACATAAAAAATGTGTACACCAAGCATTTTTGTGCTTAGCATTACCACCATCAAAGGTCGTTACTATTCAGTATAGTTGTACATCTTATTGGCGTATAAATTGTTCAAAATAGGAGTAAAATATGAATAATATCTTAAATTAGAATTAGTACGAATAATGGTTTCTTCCGAGAATAGGAATTATCTAACAAAGAATTAATAATACACGGAGTACCTATTTAGGGTTACTTGTGTTATTAACATTATAAATATACATGTTGTGTCTCCTAAAGGGGTAACTTGTTCCATTATTTCATATGATATCACAGTACATGCATAAAACAAGTTCTCATGACTGCAATAGTTATAGTTTTTCTCATGACCGTACCTCTTGACGGCTCGTCAAATATCAATGGGTACCTTTTTTATGCCAGTCATACTTGTTCAATGCCTTTATAATTCATTCTAATGTTTGACAATCTTCTGTCCACTCCAATTTAGGTTTTAAATATTATGCTTGTTTTATTGATGTTATTTCGTTTTACGTGGCTCTATCCCATGTGTAGAAAGAGTGAAGTTTTTAATCATTTTAAAATTTTTAATACTTTGGTTGAGAACCTATTTAAATTGCAAAATCAAAATTTTTTAAAGTGATGAAGGGGGTGAATTTATTAATTCTTCTATGCTACAATTTTTTGATGACCATGACATTTATTTTCAAGAATCTTATCTATACACACATAAACAAAATGGGTTTGTTGAGCGTAAGCATCATCTCCCTAGTCCCTTCTAGGTTGATGTTATTTGTATTGTTGCATCACTACTAAATTTTTTGTCATTTGCGGCTCCTTATTTGCTGCGATTTCTGCGAAGCGCATCATTTACTCCAAAATTTTAATTGTATTTGTTGCGGGTGCTACACGACCACAACAATTTGTATTTAAATTTTTATTTGAGTCAATTCCCTAAATAGGACTAAAAAGTGGTAAAATTGCACAAATATTTCTACATTTTTTAAATTCCTCCAATAGGACTATTTATATGTGTTTGAACAAATATACCCACTTAGCTTTATAAATGTTTTAATTAATAATGAAATTATAAAAAAATAATTAAAATCGTAAATTATAACAAAAAATTAATATATTATTTATAAAATAAAAATGTATTTTTTAAAAAGAAATTATAAAATTAAAAAATAATAAAAACTCAAAAAAACACCGCCGCCTGTGCCACCCCTAGCACCACCAGCTCCCATCATCGGAGAAAATCTGCCAACATTTTAAATAATTCTATAATGATAGTAGATTCAACGAAAATGTTGGCATATTGAAGAGTAATTATGCCATTTTCTTGGCATTTTTAGAAAAAGATGATATTTTTTTACTAAAGTGGCAAAAATTTCACCGATCGGGGGTTTTAGTGCTGGGAGGCGGTGAGAAGGGATGGGAAAGATATCCATTTTTTTTTTTACTTTTTTATGTTTTTACTATTTTTTATTTTTTTTAAATTTATTTATTAAAATTTTTATTTTATAAATAATAAATTATTTTTTACAATTCTTTATTACTTTATTATGGATTAAAGTATTTCATTATGAATTAATATCCTTAGGGGTGTTTAGGGTAGAAAATCACGGGCCTTTGTCTTGAATATTAAGTAATGAAAGGCCAATTGACAAAAAAGTGATCCTTTTTTAAAAATTCCAAAAATGTGACAAAAATTTGATAGTGATTTGCTACAGTGAAACACTACAGTGACATGAGATGCAGTGACATCCACTCCCACCCCCACCACCTCCGACCGGTGATCGCCACCGACTGGAGACCATCGCCGGCCGTAGTGACAACGACATAGTGACACCGTCACTGTGATGCCGCCATAGTGATGCCACAACAGTGACACCGTCGTAGTGACACGCCGCCGTTGCCAATGTAGTGACTCTACCGTGAACCATCGCCGCCGGCCAGTGCAGTTATAACTCCGACCCAGCAACCACCACCATTGACGGCCACTGGCCCCTCCAAGTGACCACACCAGCCCACCAGCCCCCTCCCCAACCCCCACATCCCCTCCCAGCCCCCTCCCCAACCCACCATCCCCCCTCCCAGCTCCTACCCAGCCACCAACCCCCTCCCCAGCCCCTCACAGCCCCTGCCCCACCATCAGCCCCTCCCCCATCCCACCAACACCGTCCCCAACCTCCAGCCCTGTACAAGAGCTGCTCAACACCACCCCGTCGTATCCCTTCAACCAACGTTGTGCCCTCATCACTCCAGCCCTGCCCCACCCCATCAGCCTAGCCACGCCCCACCCCACGAGCCCCTGCCCCATCCCCAGCAACCCTGCCCCACACCACTGGACCTGCCTCATCCCCATTAGCCTTGCCCCACACCACTGAACCTGCCCCAGCCCTCAGCCCCCAAACCCAATCGGCAGTCCCCAATCCTTGCCCCCAAAAGTTATCCCACAACCTCCTCCAGTAACCATAGCTTCCAGCCCATTTTCGCCGACCTGGGACCAAATCGCACGTCGTCAGACCGAAATTACCCTAGCTATCACAGATCCGAACATTTAGGGAGAGGACGGCGGTGACGGAAACGATGTGTCGACACCATCTGTGAAGGGAAACAGAGCTCACAGGCGGAAAAGGTGAGGTGACAGGATGGGGGGCAGCAAAGCTTGAGGTGGTGGCTTCGTCCACAGTGGCAACAAAGCTCACAAGGGGCGGAAGCGAAGTGATGAGATGGCATCAAAGGGAAACGTAGATGAGATGTTAACTCACTTTTTTGTCAAAGTTTAAAAGTTGTCAGGTCCTTCAAAACCTTGAGAGTAATATTCTTGCCATTGTTTGGAAAATCAATGCTTAATTCTATTTGAGAAATTTTGAAAGTGTAGTCTTATTTGTGCTTTTAGGAGTCCTACAATTTCTTTGTAATTTTTATTAGCTTTCGCTGCCGGCTTTAGGAGTGATAGCTGGAGTTTTTTTTTGAATTAATGCTAATTAATTAATTAATTACAGAGTTTTACGGATCTATTGTTGGGTTTAACCGTGGTAGGGGTAAGTCGCCAAACGGTTTGGCGACTTATAAGTCGCCCAACGGTTGGGCGACTTACCTTTTAAACATACGTCGGGTTCGGACAGAACGCAACATTTCCCCCAAATCCCCAAAACTCCCAAACCCTCTACAGCTCCCCTGACTCCGACGAAGTGCAGTGACCCACCTCCCCCCGACTCCGGCGAAGGTTAATCTCCGGCGAGCGACGACAAGGCCTCCATATCTTGTCAATACTACGACGGATAGGCGTGGGAAGCATTCGGAGGATTGGGCACTCAGACATGTCCGATACGTCACTATGTGGGACAGGCGAGCTGAGCTAGTTGTGACAGGGACACCGACATTTGTCCCATCTGTTTCAGGAGACTACATGAGATGGTATTACAACATCACTCGTTTGTTTGTGTCTCCTTCGTTCAGACTCCCTACTCATCATTATCAGCCTAGCTCCTTGGATTTGCATCTTACGGTGAGTATATTACTAATTAGTAAAGTAAGTCATTTTATTTATTGAATACTTTTATGTATTTCAATGTAATTGTAATTGTGTTTCATATTTCAGACAAGAGCTTTGCAGCGTATATATCAGCGGGCTACTGCCACAGTGAGTGATACTCATGATGTGGACATGTATGAACAGACTCTGACAGGCATTGCCTCCTTGTGTTCAGATGTGTTGGGGCGAGTCGACTACGGCCATCTTATGCACATGCCCCTATCTAAGGAGATGGCATCGACGTCTAGTGCAGCGACGACTTCATCATCCCAGACGCAACATGAGAGAGTGGTTCTTTAACCACGACCACGGCGTAGGCGTAGACATCAGTAGCAACATCTCCATGACCAAGATGATCAAGATGACCACGAGAACTTGTAGTCTGCCTTTTGTATTGCAGTTTTTCTTGTACAGTAGATGTTGTAAGAACAATTTACAACATTTTACGTATGTTCTCTTCTAAACTCTTGTATGTTGTCTTGATGTGTTCGAGTATGAATATTAAATGGCAGTAGTTGTTGGTCACAATTATTGTTCTCTCCAACTTAAATAAGACGGAATTTCCAAAATAAAAGCAAAAAGCTCAACTAACTGGTTACAATAGATTATTTAAATATTATTATTAAATTATTATATTATTTAAGTCGGAAAAAAACTCCTATTATTTAAATAACTCCTATTATTTAAATATTCAAAAACCAATTCGAAAAAAACTCCTATTATTTAAATATTCTTATTAGATTATTGTATTATTATATTATAAAAATCTGAAGGGAAAGTTGCCCAACGGTTGGACGACTTTCCCTGATCATAGTTAAATCCAGCAGGAGATCGGCAAATTTTTTTTTTCCAACATTATTTTCTTAATTAATTAATTAACAAAAAAAGCTGCGGACTTTAGGAGAATAGGAGCTAATGCTGCTGTCGTCCAAAGCCAGCAAAGATATAACTCCTAAAAAAGCTGATATTTTCCATCGCGATGCTTTTTCGACCGTAGCCCTCCATTCATTCAGACTCTCCTTCACTTCAGTTCACAGCCCCTCCCAGCAGCCACCGCCGAACGCCGCCCTTCCTAGCCTCAGCCACCGAACGCCGTCCTCCCAGCCGTAGCCGCCGAGCGTCGTCCCTCCCAGCCGCAGCTGTCGAACGCCGCCCCTCTCAGCCGCAGCCGCTGCACGCCTCCCCTCCCAGCCGCAGCCGCCGGTCGCCTCACCTCCCAGATGCAGCCACCTCACGCCGCCCCCTCCTAATACAGTCCTTTACCCGCTCATATTGGCTCAATAGAGGTTTAATTTCCAACCTTTTATTTATACATTTAAATTTTTTAATTTATTGAATTTTATCTAATTTGTTGAAAACTAGTATTTCTATGAATTAGTTGAATTAGTATTTCTATGAAATAGCTGAATTTTTGAAGATTATAAGCTACTCTCAGAGTCTCCGCATATCCTCGAGAGTTGCCAATATGAAAACAAGAACCAACGTGTAAATGCCTGCTGCTATCATTTAAGGTTGTGATTGGTTCTGTCTATTACTTGGTTCATATAATTCATCCAAAGAAGGCAATGTGATTTACTTTTTATATGAAGGGGTGAATACAAGTTTTGAATTAAACAATGAGGGAATTAAGTCGGTTATATGTCTTGGCTTTAAAGTAGATGAAGACTTTAAAATCTCTTACATTCCCAGACTTCAATTACAAGAATATGACTTTTGACATCCTTGCTTTACTCTTCATCCATGCCCCAAAGCACAATGTACCAGTTCAATGTTTAAATGTAGTTATGGTGTCGTACGACAATGTCTAAGTTGCTTTTAATCACACCTATAAACCTAGCTATATTGGTTGCTTATGCAAGTAATGATGTATCCAGAATTTTTGATGCCAAAAAATGGCTGAATGAGTTACCCTTAAAATATACTACCTCCGTGACATAAAGTTGAATTAATAAAAGTAGACATCTTTATAATATTATTATTTGGGTATTATATTTGGAAAGAAAACATCAAAAGGATATACACTTATCATGGTTTTCCAGGTATATATTTTGTTTTAATGAAGAGTTTTGCCTTTGTGGTTTACCTAGAATATATGATACGAATAATTGAGTGCATTGACTTTATTTGAATTGTGGTTGAAATAATAAATGTATTGCTAAATATTAAATAATTCCTACATGTCTAGCCTTTTAATGGTAGAAGAAATTAGATAGATGAAATTGATGGAATAATGCTAGAATAAATTAGAAGAAATGGATAGAAAACGGTTGAACATTAACCGTGAGATGAGAAAGAGATATTCATACACATACCCTGTAAAAGCCTATTTATAGAAGAGAAATTACCCAAAATAGGACTAAAAACGTTTGTATATTCCAAAATAGGACTATCATGTTTTTATTCTCAAAATAGGACTAATTACTGCCATGTTTTGGCAGTACCAGACTTTAAACATGACAGTATTTTCCAAACTTGGCAGTAATTAGTCCTATTTTGGGAATAAAAACATGACAACCCTATTTTAGAATTTTCAAACTTTTTTAATCCTATTTCGGGAATTTTCCCTTTATAGAATAGATAATGTGTTGTTTTTCCAAGCTAACCAACATGCACTTTCTTTATTTTGACCATTACACCGCTTACACCCTCAATTTTTCCAGTAAGTTTATTATTATTATTGATTTATATTTCGAATAATTCATATTGGCAAATGCAACACAACACCTAGTAAACTTAGTTAACCTTTGGTTATAAAATCTAACTAATGTGATTTACAATTTTTTCTGTAAAGATGAGTCGAAGTTGGATGTATGGTAAACGGAACACATTGGAGTTTATGAATGGGGTGGTTGAGTTTTGCAAATGTTGTTTAGATTATAGAGCGTTGACTGGTTGTGATTACTTATATTGTCCTTGTGTGGATTGTGCCAACGTAAATTCATTCCAGTCAATAGAGACAATCAAGGAACATTTAATTCGCCGTGGATTTAGACAAGAAGATCGATCAAATGCGAATGACATGACCAATGTCACAATCGAGATACGTTTTAATATTGAGGGTGAGAATAATGAGGACACCGAAACTGAAAGTGAAGGTGAAGATGAAGATGAAATTGATGATAAAGATGAGAGTGACAAAGTAGATCAGGTTGATGAGATGATGGGTGAAGTCAAAGACCATTTCAATAGATGACCACATGTATTTGAATGTTTGTCACAAGCTACAGAAAAGCCATTATATCACGGGTGTACAAAATACACAAAGCTATCTGCCGTGATAACATTTTATAATGTGAAAGTCAAAAATAATTGGAGCGACACAAGTTTCACATCCTTACTGGAAGTATTACATGACATGCTTCCTGATGGAAATGAATTGCCAAAGTCAAATTATTATGCGAAGAAGCTCATGTGCCCTTTGGGTTTAGAGTACAAAAAGATTGACGCATGTCCGAATGATGTGTCTTGTACCGAAATGAATATTGCATGTTGAGCAAATGTCCACGTTGTGGTAAGTCACGGTACATAACAAAGCTTGTGTCGACAACCGGTGTGAAATTGGTTGGTATGAAATATCATGAGTGTCATGTTATGATGCAAGTTTTCTTGTCCATTGCAATTTGAGCTATCTTGCCAAAACATGTCAGAGTTGCTATCATAAGACTTTGTGCCTTTTTTATCATATGGTCCTCGGGAGAGCGTGTACTCTTATGCGGGTTATGGCATCAATTGATCTACTTTTTTACACTCAACGTCAAGATAACAAGTCATCGGTGCCACTGATGTTAATAGCAGCGCTATCGTGCGCTATAGCGGTATTGCGGAGCGGAGGTCAAGGTTGGCGCTTCCGGAGGACCTGTAGCGTCGCGTTTGGGTGTAGCGGATATAGCGGCCGCATTAGCGGGCGCGCTATTCCAATGAAGGTGGACGCTATAATGGCGCAATTCATCGAATGGAAGTATTTGCGTATGATCTGTGTATTATTTACTTAATGCTGAGGTAGAAGGGTAAATTTGTCTTATAAAACAAGATATTAACAACTTAAAATCCTTCTACACGTGAATAGAAGTGCAAACGAATACAAACGGCCCCATCTTTTCAATGTACTCATTATCTCATTCTTTGTGCTCTGCGATGATATATTTCTCCTCAGAACGACAACCTTTGCACTCCTCTTCGCTTCTTTCCACCGGTAGAATTTGCTGCTTCATCTTCTTGAGTTCTTTCATTCTTCTACTTCTGCTGCAACATCTTTTACAAGAAGATCAACCTTTGCTGAGGTCTTCTTTTCTTCTTTTCATTATTCATCTTGTACAACAAAGGTCTTTATCATCTCGTATGGAGTCTACTGTCATAATAGCATCTTATGTTTTGCTCATGAAACTAAAGAGTATTTCTAAGTAATTTAGGATTTATGAATTTTAAGACTTAAGATGTTTGCAACCTTCCCGTAGTTACTTATCTATTATATTTGAAAATGTGTATGTAATGTATTATACAGAGTATATGCTTCCCGTAGTTACTTATCTATTATATTTGAAAGTAGTCTAAATAGCGATCATCCCATTATCCGCTATACCGCTATAGCATTTTTGGGGCTTGCCGCTACGCTCCGCTATCTGGGATTAACAACACTGATCGGTGCAGAATAGTGGAGTTACAGTGGTGGCATCATCTAGAGAATATGTAAGTGCTAAAGATAAATCTCCTATCGATGCAAGGTTGTCTTACTATGAGATCCTACAAGAAATTTGAGAACTTCATTATACCGTTTTTTATGTTCCCATGTTTCAGTGTAAGTGGGTGGAAAACAACCGACATGGTGTTAAGATGGATGATTGCGGGTTCACTCTAGTTGACACAAGTCATTTCCGCGATAGTGGTGATGAATATTTTAGGCATTGGTGATGTTAATGATGAGGATGAGTATGATCAACATGAATACACTTCACCTTTTTCGGTTCCTGCACTCTTACAGACAGAAGAGAAAGATATTGAGAGACAATATATGCGTTCGGATCATCAAGAAGGGATAGAACTGAAGGGATGGAGGGTACAATGTCATTAAATTCAAATGATTTATATATGTCTATACATTAAAGATGTTATTAATGTTAGTGTTATATTTTAATGTCTACATTTTTATTATTTTACATAACATATTTTATTTAACATGCAGACATTTTATACATAATGGCTAATGATGAGGATGACTATGTTATTGAAGAGGAAAGTGAAGAGGAAGTTGAAGAGGATGCTACATCACGGCGCATTCATGATTTTGAAGAAGAGGCTGATGTTAGAGGAGATATGGAGGAGTCAGGGTATTCATCGGAAGAGATCGAAAAAGCCTTGGAGAATAGAAGAAGAAAAAAGAAGGATAATAGTAAGAAATCTGGGAGGGGGGCATTTAAGAGGCTAAAAGTAACGGAACCCATGTTTTTACAAATTGACTCGTTTGGTCGTGCCACGGGTAAATGGAGACTAAAATTTGGACAACATGTCGGCTTATGTTCTCGCAAATTAAACATCAACATGAGGTGGTCAGATGTATCTAATGGCTTGAAAGATACTCTTTGGGAAGACACTAGGGTAAGCATTATAATTCAAATAATCTATATTTGTGTTTTCTCTTACTAACAATAACTTGCTTTATTTTTATAGAATTTGTTTCATCTTCCAGACGATCCTGCTATTAAGAATCTTTTTTTATCCACGGTGGCATGTCGCTTTAGAGACTTTAAAGCAAAATTAGTTTCAGGATGGATCACGTGTGTTAGAAAGCGAACAAAACAGGAAGATGGAAAACTTCCACCACAAATCTGGCGTCACATTACATCAGACATTTGGGAAGAGTTCAAGAGGCGAAAGATGACTCCAGAGGCTGAGGTAATTTTAAAACACTTGCCAAGTATTTATACATGAAATATAATTACTGTATTTTTTAATAGGACATAAGGAAAAAAGCATCAGAGAGTGCTTCACAAAACCAACACCATCATCATATGGGGCAAAGGAATTATGAAGACAACAGAGCTATTTGGATTGATGAAGGCTTTTATCCTAGTGCTTGCACAAATTCTTCATCGATTGGGTCTAGTGCTACGCAATTTAATAGAGGTGATGATTGGTACTGTGCAATGCATGCTCGTGATAAGGAGGGAAATCGAGTTATTCCAGATAAGCGTACACAAGAAGTAGCTGAGAAATATGTAAGAAAAATAATATCATTTATATTATTTCATTTGTATTAATAAGGTCATTGTACATATAATATCTTTGAACAGGTTGAGTATAAGAACAAACAGAATGTGGGTGAATTTGCTCCTCAACGCAATAGAGATGCTTTATATTACGCTCGTGGAGAGAAGGCGGATCACTCCGGCCGTGCTATTGGATATGGCGGCATTAATGTTGGATACTCAAAAGCTTTTGGCAAAAAAATGAGTGGATCACAGTACAATAAACGTTCAACACAGAACATTGAGTCCATAAAGTCCTCAATAAGAGAAGAGCTTAGACGTGAGATGAATGAAACAATGAAACTGAACATGATTGCAATCTTGAACGAAATGGGTATTACAGGTTTTAACTTTTCTAGTGGTGCCTCTATTCCGACACCAACAACATCAACAAATCACGCGCCACATCCATTTCCGAGTGATGAAATGCGGGTATTTTAATAATCACCTTAATGGTCAACTATTTGTCATATTTTTTAGGCTAAAGGGTCAAATAGGCCCTCAAACTAACTTAAAAAGTGCAAATCACCACTTATATAGGAGGCTCTGTCCGACCGTCGCCATTTGGGGCGGTTCCCGGTGGAATTTTTTGACGAAATATTTTGAGCATCTTCTTCATTAAGTCTAGTTTACTCATACCACATTTCAGATAAAAATTCAACCTGGAAGATAGTCAAATGATTTTCTGAAATGTACTGCGCTGTTTAACTGCGCAGTTATATTCTAAAATTCATTTGACTGTCTTTTCAATTGAAATTTTAGTTTATGTTTGGTATGAGTAAACTAGACTTAATGAAGAAGATGTTAAAAAATATTAATAAAAAAATTCCACCGGGAACTGCCCCAAATGACGACGGACGGACAAAGCCTCCTATATAAGGGGTGGTTTGCACTTTTTAAGTTAGTTCGAGGGCTTATTTGACCCTTTAGCCTATTTTTTAGATTTGAGTTATTTAATGTCTTTGAATGTTCTAAATTATTATATAGGGCCCAAGAGTATGTCGTTCTAAATTATTTTTAAGTGATCTTGGAACCGGACAATTGTTTGAGGTTGGTGGTGACACAACATTTCCATCTGGACCTGGAGTAAAGTGTCATCATTTACCCATTATGGAAGGTCATTTAAAAGTGAGTTTAGACACCATTTTGGATCAGTATGTGAGTGTCCCACTTCCTATACCAGTTCCCGGTGTGAATATGTTGACTCTGAGTGACCGGTTGTTTGGGTGAATTTTTTAAGTGAGGTACTTTTGTGCAATGACCAGTTGTTTGGGTGAATTTTTTAAGTGAGGTACTTTTGTGGAATAACCAGTTGTTTGGGTGAATTTTATATGTGAGGTAATAATAATAGTCAGTATATACGTATATATGTACAAAAGTACATGCATGTCTTTTTGTATGTGTATGTGTGGAATAAAATTCATAAAATAGTTGGTTTAGTTATGTGTTATGTTATTATATGTAGGCGGCGAGTTTTAAATCATCAAAGGGAAAGAAGAAATTGGACGTGCATAAAAAACCAGTCAAACAACGATCTCTAGTGTCTGAACAGGTTCTATTGTCACTTAGCAGAGATTGCAAATGGTTGCACTCGATTATAGCATCCAGATCTAGGGATGATCCCATTGTTGTTACATTAGATGCTAGTATGTTCCATTATGAATATGATGACGGTAATGCGTATCTTACTATTGAGGACATCAGTCAGTTTCTATATGGTGCCATGATTAATATTGCCATTATTCAAGTATTTATAATGTAAGATTTCAAACTCTACAACTTGTTACTGTAGTATTTAATTTATGCCACATTTTAAACTCAGTTTACTTTTACAGAGCAATGCAGGATTATTTAAAGGGTTTGGGTACACTTGCGCAGCTTGGATGGATGTGTCCTGATTCAATTAGTGCAACTGCATGTGAAAATAACCTAGAAGATGTGAAGGTTTACATACACCGAGCCATCACGGAATCTCGGAATACTGGCATTGATATTCTTGTTGCTCCTTATTATGAAAAGTATGTATTTATGTATATTTACCTTAAGTTGATTTATTATATTTATAATATGAACGATATACAAATATGATTTTCTAGCTATTACATGGTGTCCATCACAAATTACTCGTGTAGTTATCACTGGGTGTTGCTTGTGATTTGGATCTCACGTGGCATGATATTTATTTATGATTCGCTCCGGACTAGTCCGATGCGTCGCTTATTAATCATGTCATTGTTCAGCAGGTAATTTTATAAAATCATTGTTTGCAAACATGATAATTGTTATATAATTATCTTATTATTATTTAGGAACTATGTTGTTTATAACGTTGAATGTTTTCATAATAGTGTTTTTAGAATATTTGCGGTGGTGGACAGGTGAAAAAGATAACTTGGAAACAAATGAAGGTATAAGTATATATGTTCTCGAACTAAGTATTTTACTATATTATTTAATTTCTTTAACGTGATACTGGAAGTATGAATGCATACATATGTTATGTGTATAATTTGACATCACAGTGTGCAAAACAAACGGGCGGCTTGGAATGTGGATTTTATGTAATGAGATTCATGTTTGATGTGGTTAAAAGTATCGCTGAAGGTCAAGATCTGGAGCAGGTTATTTCAATACTTATTCATGAGATATGCTAATAGTTACTTTTACTTGAAGTTATTTTTTAATGAGTTAATGAAATACTACCTCCGTCCCACTAAGATTGGGACAAGAAAAGGTGGCACGATTATTAAGAAAAGTGGGTTTGTGTGGTTGATATTAAATTGATAAAGTAAGAATACAGTAAAAATGATTTAGAACCACACAAATTTTACCAAATTTGGTATGGTACAATCTTAGTGGGATTTTCCGAAGAGGTAAAATGAGACAATATTAGCAGGACGGAGAGAGGAGTAAACATTAACCTTTCAAAAAAAAATAGTAAACTTTGAAAAGGTTACAAATGTTAAAGTGTAATTATATGAAATTATATTGTGAATCATAATTGTACTGATTAAAATTGCTTAATATTTCAGGTGTACAAGAGCAACATAAGAGATAATGCGCTGTTAATGGCAGAAATCGGTGAAATCCGTGATATATGGGCTATATTTGTTTCTGACAATTTATTGTAAGCTCTTGTATAAATCATGTATTGTAATCATATATTGAATCATACTGTTGTAATGTTTGAGAACTTGGATTGTTATACAAAATTTTTGGTGCTCTGAAATTTGTTGTTTTCAATTTAGAGCAAATAATTATTAAATCGAGCCGTGTTAATTCAAATCTGGAAAGTATTTCCTGTGGGCGTAGAGCAACCGTAGCAATAACTAAATCTTTAAAATAATACGGAGTTTTTGTTGCGGGCATAGAGCAACCGCAACAATAATTTTTTTTAGAATCGGTCTTTATTTGCTACGGTTTTGACCGCATCAAATATTCAAATACATGTTTTTACATTTTGTTGTCCCTTCGATTGTTGCGGTTTAGAACTGCAACAATTACGTTAAAATAACCGCAACAAATAAGCTTTTTTCTAGTGGTGCATATATTATAAACCGTTTACCTTCTCATCTTTTTTTTGGTTTATCTACTTATGAAAAACTTTTCACAAATTTCCTAATTATTCTTTTCTGTGTATTTTTAGGTGTGCTTGTTTTGCTAATTGTTTCTACTTCATTCTCCAACAAGCGTTCTCCACGTTCTATTTAGTGTGCTTTTCTTGGCTATGCATATGAGTATAAATGTTATCGTTGTCTTGAACCCAGATCTTGCATAGTGTTTATTAGCCGTCATGTCCGGTTTCATGAGAATATTTTTCCCTTTACTAATCTAGGTTCCAATTAGGCGTTTGAATCTGTCCCTTCCTAGTTCCTACTCCCCATTTTTCCTGACTAATACTATTCGGCCTGTTGTTTCATAAAGGGGTAACTAATTCGCCAGGGTTAGTCATAGGAGGCGGGACTGCGGGAGTAACTACGAGTTTATGTCACTGATACTAGGAGGGGTAATTTCTTAAAATACATTTATGAGTTTCTAGATTCAGGACATCTTGATATGACTATTTTTTGTTCAAAAGCTACTAACTCCATCTCGGGTTAAACTTCTAATTGAAAAGTAACACAGTTATTTAGACAACAATTATATAAGGTAAATAGAGTATATTTTTAGAAGTAATTTCGATAGGTATATTAGTATATAACATCATGAAGCCGTTGATAATAACTATGATGTTATAAAAGTATTTCCTTTAATATTTGTTGATTAATTTGTCATTTAAAAGTGTCAATGATTATTTCTTAAAACATAAATGAAAAGTTTTGGCTAGGAGATTCAAAAGGCAAGTGAGAAGCTTAATTTTGAGATAGAGGGAGCTAGTACATTTTAGTAATATTAATGGAAAATCCAGATATCTAATCCTATCAAAAAGATAAAAAATAAAACATGCTAAAATAGAACATAGATATGAACATAGCCTATTTTAAAAAGAAATAATAGACATCCTATTTGAGTTGGTGTGCTATGTTTTACTAGAAAGTTGGGTTTTCAATGGAAATTAGCAGTTGCTTATTGGGATGGGTAGATATTTAAGCAGAAGATGACAATAAGCTGCAAAGATAGTGAGTAGTCTCTAATGGACATATGGTGGTTGACATGATCACATGAAACGACCATTAGCGTGTCCGGTTAGTGTAACCTAATTAATGCGTACTGAATAGTGGTTAATACTCGGTAGATAATATTGTTGGTACAAAGAGAGACCATTTTAGATTTCTAAAAAGGTGTCTCAAATAATATTCTCCTCGTCTAAATTGATTTGCAAAGGCAAAAATTTATTTACCAATCAATGTTAAAGTTAATTTTCTAGGCCCGAGCCGGTTCCAAAATATAAAAGTGCCGGCCGATTTCCGGCCCGACCCATTGTATATATGTAATTTCTAAGTGTTTGGTCGGTTGGGCCTCTAGCAACTTGGCGGTCTTAGCCCATTAGGCAATTGGCCATTTACTGAATTTAGGCTCTAGCGGGCAATTCAGACTTCAATGATTATTCGTCTCTCACTCAGTCATTCTATCGTTGTATCGAGTTATCGACAACTATCGTGTATGGAGTGTGGACTTTGGAGGATTGGAGGTTGTTTAGGAGTTTAGCGAGTACCTAACCCCCGATCGGTCGACCCCATTTGTGTTTCAACAACTTCAGCAATAGAGTTTCACTTCTCTGATTTCCAATAGAGTTCCTGTAGCGATCTCTATAGTTATCGACGCAAAGCTAAGGGACAAAACTTCTTCTTTCACCTTCGATCTCCATCCTTCATCGTCGAGATCACATTATTTCTCTCTCAACGACTACTCACTCTATAGAGCGAAGGTAACCCTCTTCCATCTCTGGCTCTTTATAGCTCTATAAGATATGAAACAAGGATTTATAATTCCAATTTCGAATTTGCAGTTCATTCGTGTTCTAGACTGTTTTGGATTTCTGGGTTGTCCATGGAATGCATCTGTATTTCATTTTTTTGGTAATCCAATGGCGTAACTTAGAATAGTCCGGACAGATAGTTCTCCGGAAGTTCAGGCCTGATCATTACTCTTAGTTTGTTAACATGAATCTTTGAGTTAAAAATAGTTATATTTTTTTTTATTGAATTAGTTTTCCTTAACTCCTTATATTTTTTTGTTATAAAGAATGCCTGAATCTCAGAGTCATGGTGGATCTAGTACGAAAATAGCGTCTTCTACTGCTATATCACCTTTGCTAGATCCTTCATGCACACCCACTAGTTCAAACACAACCCCACATTCAAAATCCACAACGGTTCTTCCAAGATCATCTTCCTCCAGAAAAAGAAAAGCACATGTGGGTCCAAAGGAAAAGCAGCCTACTATATTAGCTACTCTTGAGAAATCATCATAAGAGAGATATTGGGTTTGGGATAATTTCACTAAATGTATCGTATCAGAAATGCATCAACAAGAGAAACATGGAAACAAATTGATGGTGGAAAACATGCAAGTGATGAAGGCTAAATGCAAGCACTGTAAGTCCTTATTTGCATCTGATACAAGCGGCGAGAGAATTAGTACTTACATAAAACATATCATTAAACATTGCAATTTCTACCAAATTACCAACCAACTGATGATTTTCAAAAGGTTTTATGTAGTTTTGGACCTTAAGGAGATGTTCATAATATGAATCTTGCCAAGGGGTGGAGCCAACAAAAGTCTGTAGAAGATATTGTTGAGTATGTTGTGATCGATGAGGTACCCTTCATTTGTGTTTAAAGTGAAGGATTTAGGCGGATGATATGTGATAGAATATATGAGCCCAAACTCCACGACCCACATACTCAGAAGATCAATGTAAGGACAATTGGCACCTATATGGTCCTCCATCGGCCAAACCCCTATTTGGCCAAATTGACTCTAGCAAATTGTATTTTATACTTAGCTTTGAAAATCATGTAATCAAGCCCATTGGAGGCCTTATTTTGTACTGGGCCTCCTAGGAACAAGTCATGGGAGCTCATCCCACATTTTCCATATAAATACTCCCATAGAGGGTTGAGAAATATTAATTACTATCACTTTCTCTCTCTAGCTCTCACTTCTCTCTAAATCTATACTCTATCATTTGGTGCTTTCATTGAGAGTCTGAACAATCAAGTTAATACCCTTCGTCGCTACCAGACACTGCTAACTAAAACGGGATAGACTAGATCAAACACGAACCTCATCGATAAGACTCTCCTCGGCCCTTGCGAAAACAAAGAGTGGTCGGGCGATGCTATGACTGACAAGGTGGCCGAGGAAGAGGTCTTCTAGGAGACCATCGACCCTGCAACAACCTTCATAACCAGCTCAACATAAATGCTTAGGCCTTCAAGACAAACACAAAGATAAAGGCGGTTGTGCTTTGGGACAACAGGCTACCCCCTGTGGACCCCAGGTCCAGGTAGCACTATCGACCATCATCGCTAGCCTTGCCCAGAACCCCACCGTCTTGAGCGCTCTCATGCCCAAAATAGAGGAGAACACGACACCGCCTCCATCACCACCTCCGATTGTCACCTTTATCAGAAATTAAGAAGGCGTCATCGCACAAGACACGACCTCACACACCGCCTCTCCTCCCAGAGTTGGTCCGACCCCCGGGCGTGGTAAGACATCGGCCTTCAAAAGTGAGAAGCCTCAACACTGACCCCTCGAGGTCATGCACAAAGCCACTCCTGCAGGTAGATTGTAGCCGATGAACTACACTCCCACAGGAAGGGCGTCAAACAACCATCCAAAAGAACATCAATGCACCCACCCCCAGTTCCCACTGGTCAGAAAGAGAGACCCCCAAAGGCAGGCCCCCCAGATCGGAGGGACAACACCGAGAGAGGCGACAATGGCGGTCGAAGATCGACCCACCAAGGAACCCCCTTACACACCCAGTAAGCGTAGTCCTAGACTACGCCGAGGAGCAGGGTCTGGTAGCCAAAGACACCTGATGTGCAAAGGAAATCTATGGCATACACCAAGGTGGAAGCTACTGCTGCTTCCACAGAAACACCACCCATAATACTGACGGCTGCATCACCCTCAAAAGGTCCATTGATCGCCTCATTCAACAAGGTGAACTCTCCCAGTTTGTTAAAGGTGCCGCACGGAAATATACCCGGGTGAACACCGGCAATCGGGGAGGGGAAACCTTGGCGAAGAAGAGGGAGATTGGCAACCTCGGTGATGAGGAGGAGTTTGAGGAACCCCAGACGAAGAAGCAACATATCCACCTCATCACTAGGGACAACAAAGGGGGGACTCCGCCACTCAAAGGAAGAAATGGGTTCAATCCCTATACATTGGTGAGGTGTCCCACATCCCCCCATAGGAGAAGAGGCAAAAGACAGAGGCTATAACCTTCACCGAAGGGCCCCTATCTCACAGGGACACCCTCGTCATCCGATGTGAAATTGGTGACGCCATCATTCATCTCATCTACATTGACACAAGCAGTTCTGTCAACATCATGTACCTCGATACATTCAAGTAGCTGAAACTGAACCTAACATCGCTCAGGCCGATCCGGACGCTGTTATACGGCTTCACCGGAGACTCTATCAACTCTGAAGGCACGGTAGTCCTCCCTATGGAGGTCGGTGACTGCTCCCATCGCGCAAAGATCGGCTTGGAGTTCGTGGTCGTCAACCTCAAATGCGCCCATAACCTGATCTGGGGTCGGCCAACATTGGAAGACCTTGAGGCGATCATATCCACGAAGCACCTCTGTCTAACATTCCCTACCA